CCCCCCCACTGTTCCCCTTCAGCCTTTTTCCAGCTATTCATTCCCAGGGCAGCCCCTCCCTCCTCCCCCTGCTCCCCTCTCTCAAGCAGCTGGTATGCTAATGAGGGTCCCCAGAAAGGGGCGGAGGGGGGGCTGCAGAAGCCATGCCAGGAGCAGCCACCGAACAAAGGAGGCTCCCACCAGCCCCCCCCTGCCAGCTTTTCACATTCAAATCCATTAAACAGGGAGCTCCAGTTCCTCATTCAGAGCCCTGCATTAAATCCAGGAGGGAGGGAGGCTGTTTTGCCTAGGCTGGTGGGTGGGAGGCCTGGCCCAGAGGGGCCAGGCAGGGAGCTGCAGAAGGCCTTGGGCAAAGGGTCCTCCTGACCCACTCCCAGGTATTGGTGGTCCTGGATGAGAACTGGGAGGGGAATTCTTCCATTTTGCCACACAGCCTTTAAGTGGCCACAGGTTCTGCCAGTCTTTCGGGCTGGCACTTCAGAGCTCGGTCTGAGATCTACCGCCCCTCTGTGGGCAGCCTCAACCCTGCTGTGTTACCTCCCTCCCATCCACCCAGAGATAACGTTGCAGCCTCATTAAATGCGGGGGGGGGGCTAAATGGCTCTCACGGGCATGATCTCCCCAGTGACCTGTGCCCCCTGCCCCAGTCCGTGCTTCCTTGCCCAGGGTCAGGGGTCTTCCCCAGAGCAGCCCCGCTTGACAATATGAGTGGGGAGGGGAGGAGGCTGACCCCCCCCTCAGAGCCTCTTCCCCTCAGTGCCTGGTTTTGGGGAAGGGGGGTTCCTTCCTTCTTGGCCTCTCCATTCAGATCCCCCCCCCCCGCTCGCCACCTCCCAGGAAGGAAAGCCAGGCGAGGCGGGGTCCCTCCCGGGCGGAGGTGCCAGCCGCAGGTCTCCGCTCTCAATGCGCCATTCACCCTGCTCAGCCACACAGAAAATCTCGGTCATCGGATCCTGCCCTGCCTGGAGACAACCGAGGCTTTCTTCTTGTTAAGGGCTGCAAAGCATGGAGGGGTCCCTTTTGGGGAGGGGGCGGAGAAGCAGCGGCAGCTTTGGTGGGAGAGGGCTGGGCCAGGCCTGGTGTGGCGGGGAGCAGTTGCCCATTCAGCCCAGGGCCGTGTGTGTGTGTGTGTATGTGTGTGTGAGTGTGTGAGTGTGAGTGTCGTCCCAGCCGGCCTGGAGCAGCAGCCGGACAGGCCATAACCTCCGTGGTGGTCGGGGTGCCATGAAGGGCTGCCCCAGGGTAGGGCTGGAGCCAAGGCAGCTGAAGAAGTGATGGGGAGAGGCGAAGCCCTCACCTTCCCAAAGGCCTGGGGAGGGGGGGGAGCTGGGGGGGAAGACCGTGACGACCCCCTGGCGCCCCTGCTGGTCCCAAGGGGAAATAGCCACCAGGGAGAGGATGGCAGAAGCCCCCACCCTCTCCTGGACCCTCGGGGCTTGAGATGGGGGAGCAAACTCCTCAGCCTGAGCCTGCTGTGCAGAAAAGATGGCCGGAGGGCACGAGAGCAACGTGTGGCGGCAAGAGATGCCCGTGAGAGGGAGGGTCCCACAGTGAGGAGACGGGCTCACTTCGGTCCAGCAGCTGCATTTATTGATGCCAGCAGGATTTTGGGAAGAGGGCTGCCCCTCTCGGCTGCCCCTCTCGCTTCTTGGCCTCTCACGGGTGCAAGAACTCCTCCCCGTCTGCAAGGGGAGACAGCGGCATTGGGTCCCTTTCCCCGCCAAGTGCTCAGGAGGGCCAGGTGGCCTGGCAGTGGGGGCGGAGGATCAGGCTGGAGAAGGCCTCTCCCTCGGGATACAGAGGACACCCCCCATGCAGAGAGTAACCCCCCTCCCATGCCTCCCCCCTCCCCTCTAGGATGGCATCCCCCGTGGGAGACGGCCGCCAGGGGCCTCTTTGCCCACCTACCGTTGGGCAGGAGGCCGCAGTACTCCTGGCACTCCTTCTGCAGGTAGAACTTGTTGGCGTTCCCTCCGCAGCCCTGGAAGGTCAGGCACTGGCCTTGCTTGGCATCGAAAGCCCAGAAGGTGCTTTTGCAGGGCTCCCCCGGGACGATGGGCAGGCGGCAGGCGGCTGCGGGCAGAGAGGGAGGGAGGGATGGAGAGGTTGCCACTGGGAGCCCAGGCGGGATGGAGACAGGGAGGGGGGGCTGGAACCCCCAGCCCTGCTGCACTCACCCTCCGTGCGGCAAGTCTGCAGGCAGCCGCGCTCGGAGTGGAAGTTGTTCTGGTTCCCCCGGCAGCCGCCGTAGAAGAATCTCTCGCAGTTCTGGGACGTGGTGTTGTAGAAATAGCGCATCTCCATCCCCAGGCAGGGGCCGGCGTCCTTGGGCTGCAGGCAGAAGTCTGTGGGATTGCAGGGGTGGGGGGAGAGGCTGATGCCAGCCCAGGTGGACTGGGGACTGTGCCCGGGAGAGCCGACCCAGGTAGCGGAGGAGTAACCCCCAGCAGGCATCATCGGAGTCGTGCCCAGACTGCCCTGGTCACTGACCGGCCAGCCGATGAGGGTCCTCTGGGGGCAGCTGTGGGGAGCGCCAGCTTAGGGAAGGGGGCTTGAGCCCTCCCGGGGAGCTCACCTTCCCTGTTGCCCCCCATAAACGATGGGGAGCCATCGGCAGAGCCTGCGTCCTCATCCCAGGTGCTCCTCCGGTCCCTCTGGGGGAGAAAATGGGCCAGCCGTGAGCTCAGGTGGGGAGAGGGGCATTAAGGGCTGAGCCCAGGGAGCCCCCCCCCGGAGGAAGTAGTAGTACCTGCAGGGTGACTTCTGGCTGGGGGGGAACACACTCCCCTGAGGAGAGAGAGACCGGTCAGAGGGGGGCATTGTCTCCACTGCAGGTGACTCTCTGAGGGCAGGAGGGGCAGCCGAGCCAGGCAGCCTCAAGGACTGTGGCATGACCTCCCCCCCTCCCTCCCCCTGCACCCCCTGGTCTGAGAAGACCCCTCCCCTCCTCCCCTCCAGCATCTGCTTTGCCTGTTTCCGTCAGTCTGAAGAAGGAGTCCTCCGGAATTCCCAGGGCCAGCGAGAACTGACGGAACTCCTCAATCAGGTCCTCGGACAGGTGGGGGCTCCTCCCTGCAATGGACAAGAGGGGAGCGACTTGGGCATATGGAGTCCATCCCGTGCGGCAGGAGGGTGAGCGGACCCTCCATCTTCAGTAGCAGGCTACCTCTCCGTACATGGCTGTGTTTCAGGGCGTGGTGGGGATTGTCCTCCACGCGGGGAGGTCCGGTTCCTCCCCCAAAGCAGCCAAGGGCCGCCCAGCCGCTTGTGTGTGTGTGGGGGGGCTGACCCGGCCCCTGGCCAGGAGGCCTGGAAAGGTGCCTCTGAGCTTAGAACGGCCTCCATCCGCCTGGCTCGGCTCCCAGCAGCCCTGGAGGGCAAACTCTCCTCCCCCACCCCCACGTTGAAAACCAGGGTAAACAGGAAGGCTGTGGGGGAGGCTTCCTTTGCCCTTGGACCCCTGTCCACCTTGGCACCCCCAGGCTGCCACTCCCGGGTGAGCTCCTCCGCTGTGGGTCCCCTGGTGCCATGTCTCCAGCTGGTGGGGGGCAGAGAGCGGGGTCTTTCTGGAGGCAGGGGGGACCCCAGTCAGATCTGCCTCGGGGGGGGGGGTGCCTTGGAGGCTGTGGGGGCCCTCGGCAACCCCTCTATTGGCCCTCTGGCCCAGGATCCCCCCATGTTCAGTTTCACGCCGGACAGGCTCCTGTCCCTGCAGCAGCCCCTACCGAAAAGTTGGGTGGTGACGGAGTAGCCGTAGCTGCTGTTCTTCTTCCAGGCGAGGAAGGCGTACTCATCGTAGTTGGTGCGAGCCACGTAGCCCTCAATGTGGGTCTCCCACCCTGGGGGGAAGACGGGGAAGGGAAGGCAGAGTGATTCCCCCCCCCCTCTGAATGCATCCCCTCCCCCGTTTCCTTCCCCTTCCCAGGAAGCCCACTCCTGAGCCTTCCTAGGGCCTGAGACGGTGGGCTACAAAGGCTCCCCCCTTCCCTCCCAGGCCCACCTGCTGGGCACCGAAGCCCCCCAACCTACTAGAATTGTAGTACTGGTATTTCCCGGGGATGCTGCTCTTCTGGTAGACTCCCACCGCTCGGCTGCAGGTGCCTTGCCTGCAAAGGGGTGCAGAGGGGGTGGGAGAGAGGGGCTGAGAACCTATGAGGTGGCATTGATGGGTAATTACTGGCAGGTCTTAACCAGCCAGGACGGCTGGACCTACCGGATCCTGGTGGAAGCAACCGATAACTCATTGCTAGAGTCCCCCGCAGCCACCTCCAGTGTCCCCATCAGGAAGCGCTCCTTATACTTCTTCATCCACTTGCAGGTCGTGCCGAGCGCGATGGCGTACCACTTCCCATAGACCTGGTGAGAACAACCCGAAAGCGGCCATCTTAAGGCCACGTCCGGCGCCCACGGCAGACTTTGGCAGAGTTTCAACCTCCGCTCCTACAAGGCTGGCGTTCCTCCTTTGGTGCCAGTCCTCCGATATGTGGTATTTCTAGCTAGGATCCCAGTCCTCGCTACGACTCTTGGCGGAGTGCAGGCACATCCGTAAGAGTCGGAGAAAGGGCTTTAAGGGCCCCACTCCTCGTTCTATCGTCTCAACACAAAGGGAGGTCTTACTCTTGCTTCCTCAAAATCCTCCTGGACTTGGATGGTGTCGGCTGGAGCGACTGGACTGGCGCTGGCCGAGAGGAAGACGGCGGTGCAGACGAGAAGAAGCACCGGGGGCTCCATGGCTGGACTTCTGCTCTGCTCAGCTCCGACGGGCACCTCTGGCCGCTGCAACGGGGCAGCTTTGTTTTTCTAGCATGGGGAAATTTGAACTTTGGCCTGCGGGCTGCACCACAGGTGAACGGCCTTGCGATGAATGCATCCGCCTGGGAGCCCGAAGACGGGGTCTCTGGCAAGAGCCCTCCCCATTGAACTTTACAGGGGGGGGGAGAGAGAAATGGATTCGGATAAGGTGATGGGGGCTTCCTTCCCAGTCTTCCCAGTCCCTTCAGCTGAGACAAAGGGGTCTCGCCATGCCCTGGCTTGACTGCCCGGATGGGAGCCTCCTGTTAGGCCGAGGGTCCTGGGAGGTGGGCAGATCTGCCTCCTTGTCCCTTGCAGGAGGACATTCCTGGAGACTCTGGCTTTGGAGGCGTCCTGACACCCCGGGGTCTTTCCGCCAGCCTGAAGACCCTCAAGCCCTCCCCGGCTGTCTGTGCTCCTTCTCCCAAGAATCATTAACCAAAGCAAAGAGTGGGAGACAACAACCGGCCCCAGAGGTTGTAACCCCTCCAAGGTTTTCAGCTTGGACATTGGATCGCAAACACACAGCGTTATCAAAGGCCAGCAGCCAGAATTCATCAGAGGGGCCCAAAATCTGAAGTGTTTTTCCCCTCTGCTTTTGCTATAAACAGGCCTCCAGCCTTGCTCCATGCCAGCTGAAAAGATGGGCAGCTCAGCCGGCCACACCGGAAACAGGCCGGTTGTCCCAGATGGGATGCAGGCAGAGCCAGGAGGATCTCCCACCGAGCTGTAAGTGCCTCCACTTGTATTCTGGACCCGTGTCC